TACTACAATGGACGAGGATAAATGGGACCTGATTTTTAGAGAAAACTTTTCGCAGCCGAAAGAGGAAAGGAGACCAGCACTAGAGACTGGAGGTTGACATTTATTTGCTGTGTGACCTTGGGCAAGTCACCTGCCCGAGTCTGTTTCATCTGTGAACTAAGAATGCTAGAGCTGCACAACCAGAAAGATCCATCTCCCCTGCCGATTGCTCCAGAGCTGGGTGGAGATTCGGCCTCCACTGGACTTAAGTGTCCGGCAGGTAGTTCTAGTAAAACCCAGAAGAGCCGGCGCCCCCAGGACGCCCCCAGGGGTGCCCTGCTTGTCGGTCTCCATGCTGCCTGCCCTGCCTTGCTTAGCTTGTTGAATGCTCAGAACTGCCCTTGCGGGCCCAGGGGCACCTCCCCATCCTACTGAAGACAAATGCGAGGCTCACCTGAGAGCATTTGTAACTGGCCAGGCCCACGCAGGTGGCACGTAGCAGGTTCAAGGGCGCCAGACCTCAAAGGCTCACCCTCTCTGTGAGCCCGCATGTGCTCTCTGGGTAACCACGGTCTGGCCACCCAACAAGAACGGCTGCAGGTTAAGTGAAAACAGCCCTGGCTGGCGTAGCTCAGTGGATTGAGCACCAGCCTGCGAAGCAAAGGGTCGCTAGTTCGCTTCTCAGTCAGGGCACATGCCTGGGTTGCAGGCCAGGTCCCCAGTGGGGGAGCAAGCGGGAGGCAACCACACATTGATGTTCCTCTCTCTTTCTCCTTCCCTTTTCTCTAAAAGTAAATAAAATAAGTGTGTGTGTGGGGGGTGAAACCATGTCTGCCCCACCCCAGTACCATTCCCCGGAACCAAATTCCTCGGGCCATGGAGCAGAAGTCTTGCTTTGGCGGGCAGCTGGGTGGTGTGGTGATTAGCAGTGGGGTTCACCAGGCTGCGTGCCTGTCGTTGGCAGCTCGGCTGCACGAAAGCTGACTGGCTTCGCTTGCAAACTCAGCCCCGCTGAGCCTCAGGTAGACAACTACCCATTCCCAGGGTTGGGAGGGGGACTGGAAGGAATCGCCCACACGAAGTTCTCAGCAGACTGCCCGAATGCAGTAAAAGCTCAGTCACAGTGTTCCCTGCCTACCTACACAGGAGGGAATACCAGTGGTGACGAGCACTTAATAAACTGATCTATGGCGTCAGTTCATAAACCTGGGGTCCGCGAGCCCCCTGAAATCATGTCCCAGAAACAGTGCTCATGCTTTTCTCCAGGAAGCACCCTTAACCATGGTGTCAGCTCCTCACACGGGTCGGTGCCCAGAGCAGGTTAACATAGGATTGCTGCAAACCCAACTCCCTAGAATATAAATGACATCTGAAATAGCATGGTTAGCCCGAGTCCTTCCTTACGTCCTGAGAGGGGTTGCTGAGTCCTCTCCACGTGGCCTCTCTGCCATGGAGCTCTCGGGTACTTATCACACACAGACCCCGGAACTACGCCCGGGGTTTGCAGGTGGCTCCTGGAAAAAGGTCTGACCACAAACCACCGAGTGAGTGGGATCAGGCTTCCGGAACCTTCTCTGCAGGGCCAGTTCCAACAATCCACTCTTCCTCAGAGAACAACCGGGGTGTTTGCTTTGGCATACCACTAAGCTAAGTACCTGTGCCACGCTGGCCCTTTGCTGGGAGCTCCCAGGCGCACCAGGAATTATTCTGCTCAAGGAAGACCACGCCACAGGCGGCACCTCATCCCCTGGCAACCCACCACCTTCCCAGCCCTGGTGCCGCTAGAGCCTTTGGCCCAGTGGGCAGGGCCCAAGCTGCCCACTGGACCCTCTCCGGTTGTTGGGACAACCGTCCTCAGGAATTTCGGCCCCCCAGTCTTCCCCTGGGCGAGAAGGGGACAGAGTTGGCAAGGCCAGCTGCCTGGCGTCTCTTCCAACCCCACGGTGAAAGGGAAAGCTGAAAACTGGATTCCCTACCCCCAGCAGCCTGCAGGCGCAGGGCACACAAACAGCCTGGCCCCAGAGGGAGGAATGTGCCCGGACATTCTTCAGGGTTGGTAACCCGAGACGCTATTTTGTTCTTGGTGGCTAAGAAATCACTTTTCTGACTCCAGGACCATTGGACGGACTTCTTTTAAATTCAGGGGAATGGGCAGGCGTCTCCTTCCCTCAGGTACGGAAAAAGCCGAGACCAATGCAAGCACGCACTGAAGGAACTGAATTTCTGTATGGGGTCTTTTCTGTTTCACAGCATTATCCAGCCGCACAATTGGTCTGCCCCACCCCGCCACCCCAAGGCAATCTGGCTCTTTTCTAGCTTTATTACTAAATTTTTGCCCTCCTCTTCACAGCCCCCTTACCCTGCTGCCTACTCCCACTCCCGAATTCTGCCCCGAAGTCGGAAGGAGGAAGGAGAGGCAGAGGAGTGCGAAATCGGACCCAAGAGCTGGCAGGACCTTTGGAAACCATCTCGCCAGCCCCGTCCTCACCCCAGTGAAGTGCCTGCACCTGACTGAGAGCACCTCCAGCGATTCGCCCACTGGGGCAGGACCCGAAGGCAGAGATCCCTGCGATAGGACAGGCAGGGAACTCTGGAGAGGCCAGAACGGAGGTCCCTGCTGCTCAGATCTTTGCCCAAACTCCAAAGCTGGCCACAGCAGGGACCCCAGGCTGCACTCAGAGCCCCTCAGCCCCACACAGGCCCAGTGCAGGTGCATGACCAGGAGACGCAAAGCCAATGAGAAGACGTGAGCAGCTCCACTTAACACCTGTAGGTTTCCAAGTCCTCTCTGGTGCTTGCCAGTTGGCCTGAAACAAAGGCTGCAGGGGCCTGTGCCGGAGCCTGCTGGGGGGGGGGGGGGGCGTGGGGGGGACAGGCAGACCACAGTAGGAGCCAGCCTACAATGTCAACGGATTGTTTTTTTCTCCACTGTAATTTTAAGGATCCTTTCTATTTACGGCAATCGATGTTACTAGTTCCCTACCTGTGAAAGCGGTTTAAACTTTTTCACATGGAGTTGATACACAGTCAAGTATTACATAAGCCACAGCGCAGGTAGACACAGCAAAACGCTGGGAAGGTGGTCTACATGAGGCCAGAATTTGGGAAGTTACGCTCGAGCAGCCAAGTCCCGTTTTCACGGCAGTAACACAGCTTGCCATCTTCCCTGGGCAAAGAATTACTGCCGTTTCTGAAGCTTTCTGCTACAGCTGTGTCAGCCCCTCGGTGCCCCAGGGAAGTCAGTCCACAGATGTGTGACTGCAGTGAGCTGGCGGCCCTGGGTGTATGGATGCCCACCTCTGACGTCCAGCTGGCCTGGAGTAACAGCACACCTGCCGGAGTAAGCTGCTGGGACCTCCAGTGGGGGAGGGCAGAGAAGCTGGAGTCTGTTCTGGGAGGGAACGAGGGGCTGCCTGGCTTAGCAACGCAACTCACCCGGAGTGGGAGGGGGAAGGAAAGTGAGTCTGAACACGGGTGGAAGTGAGAAGTTCAGAGCTGGTGAAGAACCTGGACATACGAGCTTCGTGACATCATCACACCCCCGGGCCTCAAATTTTCTCCTATGTTTAAAAACGGAAACCAGACTCTATTTTCTGCGTCCTCTCCAACTTCTGAGAGCTCCACTATGACTGCTTCCCTTCAGAGCAAACCATGCACCTGACAAATTGGGAAACTGAGGCTCGGAGGTTAAAGCAGCCTGGCCAGGGAACACTCTCTGGCATTAAATATTTCTCTCCCAGGTGCCCATCGTGAGACCTCTGGCATGGAACCGAGTGTGGAGCAAACCAGTAGATGTGGAAGTGGATGAATTTAGGTGCTGTCTTTGTCTTTGTTAATCCTCACCTTGCTGTACACCCGTACGGGCCTTCTGGGACCTCCGTCCCAACCCAGAAAGATGGAAGCGTCCAGAAAATTCACCTCCATTGTTTCACAGGCACCTAATGCCCAAGGTCACAGTGACCAGGTGAAAATTCCACATTCCTGAGACGCTCTGACCACTGAGACCACTGACTGCGTTAGGAGAGGACAACAAAGGTCCCTCCCCCCCCGAGGGTGGTCCTACCTCCCCCTACCACCCGGTCATAGGTGGGGAGGAGGTGCATGTGTGCAAAGAAATTCCAAGCAGTGGAAGCCGAGAGAGAAAGTCTGGAAGCTAACAGCCACACCAGGCATCTCAGACTCCACCTGCCTCAGCAAAAAAAAAAAAAAGAAAAAACAATACCGTGCTACAGCCAGCGTGGCGGCCACCAAGGTCACGACGTGCTGGTGCAGCGCTGAGAAGCCGGGTCCCAGAGGGGGACAGAGAGGAGGAGGGGGCGACAGGCAGGGCTTGGCGGGAGGCCCCTCACCTCCATCTACATCCTCAGAGCTTCCAAGTTGCTGTGGATTCCTGGGGACCCAATCTCCCGGATCAGATCAGCCCTCCCCGCTCCTTCCCACTCCCGGCCTCCAGACACCCCCCCCCACGCTCAGGTGCTCCACTCAGAACCTCAAAAGCACCTGTCATAAACCACACTCCGGGTTGCCTTGTCCTGCGCGTGATGTCTGTCCTTTCCTCAGCAGTCTCCCCCGGAATCCCGAGGTTCTGCCACCCCCTCGTAACCGATGCTGCCCCATCCTCCTCCCCGCTCTCCACCCCACGCAGGGGAAAGCCTCCCCGGGAAGCCCCAGCTCACTCGGCTCCGTCGTCCCCCGCCCTCGCCAGACTTTTCTTTCTAAAGGGGGCGGGGGCGGGGCTAGAGCTTGAGGTCAAAACTCGGGGCAGGTGAGGGCTGGGGCCTAAATCCTCCGTCTAGGCATGGCGGAGGGGGGCAGCCTGGGCCAACTCGCGGGCTGTCCCCTCCTCCCGGCAGCCCACAGGGGCGGCAGCAGCGCTCCTGGAAGGGAAAGGGAGTGGGGGGCGAAGAGAGCGCCAGAGGCTGGTAGGGAGGCCCCCACGCCGCGCTCCTGGCCATCCCAGCTGGTTGCCCCTAGGGCAGTAGAGGGTGCAGTTGGGGGTGGGGGAGACTCCCGGGTCCTACCTGTCCCGCGGGTCGATCCAGCTGGTGGTGCGGCTCGTGTGGTCTATGTAGTAGACCTTGCCGTCGAAGTCGCGCGCCTGCTCCCAGCCCTGCGGCAGGGGCAGCTCCGGCCGGGGCATCTTCCCAAGTGCAGCCCGCACTCCCCCATGCAGCTCCGGACCGCCGCCGGGACTCCCGGTTCAGCGGCTCCGGCCGGCTTTACCCGGTCCGGGCCGCAGCCGAGGCACCATAATCAGGGGGGTGGGGGTGGCGCCCGCAGATTGGGGGCCCTAGTGAGGGCTGGCCAGCGCGGCGTGGCAGTCCATGCAGCTCCGCTGCCCCCCGGCCCCGGCCCGGCGCCGCCCGCTCCTCCCGCCGCGGGCCTCTCAAGCTGCCATGTGCGCCCGCAGCGGCGCGGTGCGGGCTCGGGTGCGCGCCCGGCCGGCGGGGCAGAGCTAGCCGAGCGCAGCTGCCGCCTGCCTTCCTCCGCCGCGCGGTGCGCTGCGCCCTCCGCGCCGCCCTCCGCTGCCTCTTCCTCCCCTCAGCCGGGTGCAGTCCCTCCTCTCCGCTCTGCCGTTTTGCGCCCGCTCCGTTTGCGACTTCTGCCTCCGCCAGGTGCGGCTCCGGCGGTGCAGGTAACCGCGCTGCCCCGGAAACGGGAGGCGGAGCGCCGGGCGCCAGGGTTCCAAATCCCCTCCCCACGCCCAGCGCCGCGAGGGCGGGTCCTAGGGCCCGAGACGCGCCCCCTCGCGGGGCAGCCCGAACCGCCGGCCGCCCGCCGCTACGCGGCCCGGGTCAGGGCAAAGGGAGACCTCCTCTTACCTGGGTCCCAGACCCAGACTGCAACCCCGGAGGCTGAGCAAGAGCTGTTCTGCCTCTGCGTCCCAACGGTCCTGGCTTTCTCCACCCCGAGTAACCAGGCTCTTGGCGCAGGTGGCCCTACATCTTACAACTCCCCGCTTCCCTGTTCTGTGGAAGCCGGAGTAGGCAAGAAGTGGTTAAATAGAAACATGCTTGTAAATCGGGGAACATAAGTTTTCCAGGATCTCTTATCCCTTCCCCCAACACAGGCACCATCTGTCTCCCTCTTATTCCATTCTTCCTCCCATGTTGTTTCACCCATCCCCCCACCTCCCGTAGTTGCAAATGTAGCTGGCTCTCCTCCGGGTCCGGAAAATTGGGAGTGCTGTGATCCCCTCCCCCGGGAGGGCTTCCAGAGGGTGTCAGGGTCAACACTTGAGTGCTGTTGCTGTTATTAGCTAAGTTGAGACCGGCACCGTCCCAGGCTGGGGGCCAGCAGCTTCACCAGCTGTTCTCTCCTCTGCTATCTCGAGGTGAGGATGTCTCAGACTTGGGGGAAAAGGGTGTTTTAAAAAAGAGTAAAGAAAACAAAGCAACGATTTCATCTTTAAAAAGATTAGAAGAAATTTCGAAATCAGACAATGTTTCTTGAGAAATTAAAACTATGTAACTAAATACGAAAAGGAATGTAGCGTGTTGATGGGTTTGTCTGTGTTTCCTGAGTGTGTTTAATCATTTGGGTGGTTTTTGTTGTTGTCGTTTTCGGGGAGCTGGGCTGAAGGAGTGAGGCCCAGCGCTCTGGGGTACCTACGGCCCTGTCTGAGCCCCATCCTCTCTCCCTGAGGAGCCAGAGTCTTGTGCTGGGTGGGCCCCGGTCTGCTGAGCAAGGGATGGAGGGAATCCCGTTTGTGGTCTCCTCTCAACAGAAAAGACCCTGCATGGCAGTTTCTCACTTCCAAACGCCTTCACCAAGTCAGTGACTTCCAGGAGGACAGGCCTGTGGGCTCAGCATTTGGCTCTTCCTTCCCTCCTTCATTCCATAGATGCCACGCACAAAAGTCCAGAAACGTGGGCCTCACACTGACCAACCACACCCAAAAGCGGGAGTTCCCACTGTTTCCTGGGGGATTTTAGTCCTCCCCACTTCCTGGGTTGGGGGCCAAGCCTTCACTATATAAAAACCCTCCCACTTATCCATCAGGGCAGTAGCTCAGAGGTAAACCCAACGACGTGGTGCCAGGTGCTTCACACACGTGACCTCATTGAATCTCCACAACAACCCTCTGGAGTAGGGAATACCACTCATTATACCCATTTCACTGATGAGAAAACTGAGGTTTGAGGGCCAGGGACGCAGAGCTAATAAGCAGACCCAGGTCTGACTAGAGCACTGGGGCTCTAACATTAACCAATACTTTGTCTTTCTTCTTTTTAAATTAAAGCAGGTTCTCGATGTCTTGTTTTTCCACATCGTTTTGTTATGCTGATTCTGTAGGAACTTACCCCTTGTTTATATCAATTAGCCTATGGTAAAATTGGTTTCCTTTATACATTCTTTCATTTAAAGTCCAAGGGCTGACTATACTCTGGGACTCCTGGACCTAAAATATTATAGGTGCTGAAGAATGCTTCTCCCTGTTGATGCTTCATCACTTTTTGGCTGAGAACAGAGGCTCTGGAATCGGTCAATTTGGGTCCCAAATCCACCCTCTTTTCTAGCCCTTTGACCTTGAGGAACTTGCTCAGCCGACGTCTCAGGCTTAGGTCTGTAAAACACAATGACACAGACTCAGCAGGCCTGTGTTGTAGGGGCCAAGGGAGAAGAGAAACATAGAGGGCTTGGCATTCGGCAGTAAGCCTGACTCACCCCAGGGCCCCTAGGGGCACACTGGGCGTGCCAGTGCCTGGCAACAAGCATACCCCAATAAAATGTGAACCAATGAAGTGTTTTCTGTCCCCAACACAAGGCCAAGCCCTTCCCCTTCCCCCAAATTGTGCCCTGACTGGTGTAGCTCAGTTGGTTGGGCAATGACCCACAAAGTAAAAGATCCCCAGTTTGATTCCTGGTCAGGGCAGGTGCCTGGGTTGCAGGTTTGGTCCCTGATCGGGGTGCATCGAAGAGGCAATAGATTGATGTTTCTCTCTCCCATCTCCATGTTTCTCTCCCTCTCTTCCCCTCTCTCTAAAAATAAAGAAATACAATCTTTAAACAAACAAACAAACAAAAAAAACTGTACGTGGTTGTTTGTGACAGTCCCTCGATTACCGATTTTGTTTCTGTCTTGTTTTGCAATCAAGCCTCCTCACCGGTTGGCTCGCTGGTGAAGGGGAAAACACTTTCTAGACTGCCAGATCCAACTTCCTCTCCGGCCCAGGTGCCCAGGCCCTGGCATTTTCCAAGTTACTTGCTCCTTTGGACTTTTAGACCTGGGCTGGGGAGCAGGTAAGCGAGACCAGAGCAGGAATCGACTTCCAAAAGCCTTGGTGTGTTTTCTGGGCTTCTTACCTCTCTCCCTCACCCCACCCCACCCCCCACCCCGACAAAAGAATGCCAGATTATCTTCCAGACGCTGGGAGCAGGGTGAGGTAATAAACCAGATGACTGCCTGCCCCAGGGGATGGCGGTGAATCATCCCCAGGCATTCTTCAAATCTGAGGACAAACGTGAAAGGGATTAAAGGTAAAACCGGCTGAGCCACAGGATGGAGCGAACTGGACGTTACTCCACAGGTGACTGAGCCGCAGGAATCCGAAGGGAAAGCCAGAAGCCCAACCCCTCCTGCCTTCCCCGCCCCCGTCCCAGGGCTGTTTCTGGCCACTGTGACACGGCAGAAGTGACCACAGGCCAAGCCTTTCTTCATTTGCTTTGGCATCCAGGTGGCCCACAGGGGACACCTGTGCCTGGGACACGTCGTCCTGTTTTGTTTGTTTGTTTGTTTTTTTAAAGACGCCCACTGAAATCCTTTCCCCCACAGCAACAGCAAAGAAGAAAGGCCAGTTCCCACATATGTGTCTCAGGGAATTTTGGAGAATGGGGTAACATATTTCACAAAGGTGGTAAGGAGAAACGAAGCTTAAAAAAAACAAAAGAAAAAAGGAACACATATGTTAGCGATAGTTTCCTGTTAGCTTCTGTTTTCTTCAAGGAAGTGGAGCCCGTGGAAACTGAGGCCGAGGGATCTTGAGGCTCCAGGCCATCTCTGCCTCGCACCCTGAGAACACACGCAGCGTCATTGTCATTCCTGCGACCGAGCCCCCAACGCCCCCTTTCTTTAGTCACGCATTCGTTGAAATTCATCATTGAGCTCATGGACTGGTTTTTGTTTTGTTTTTTTCCAACTATAGGAAAATGTCCTAAGCCAGGAAAAATTAGGGTGGGAGAAACTGGCAATAAAGATGGTTTCTTATTACCCCTAGGTGCTCAGGCCTTAATCCTGTGCTCGAAAATAAATCGAAAAACGTCTCGTGTTGCCTGCTTATTTTATAAGCGGGGAGGCGGGGTGTGTAGGGCTCCTGGCACAGTGGGCTGGTTCTTTGCAGTCCCATTTTGCAGATGGGTAAACTGAGACTTGGAGAAATGACTTTCCCGTGGTCATGCGACCAGTAACAGAGCCAAGATCCCAACTCGGCTCTGGTGGGTCTTTCTTGTGAGTTCACAGCAGCGTGAGCTCTCAGGTGCCAGTGAACAAGGGGCGTCAGTGCACTGACAGTCTGGTTGTGAGGGGTCAGGGAGCAGCCTGCAGACTGGGCTTGGACTGCTTTCATTCATATGGCATCTCTCTCTGGAGTGGTCGGAGGTGGGAAGGCTCAGGCTTGAGGTCACGGTTGTGCTCACAGGCAGAGGGCAAGGGCTGAAGTGAGCGTTCTGAATTCTAAGCTGAGGATGGATCGACCTGGTTTTTGACCTTCACCTGTGCAGCCACAAGACTCACCTGGGGGGTCCGCTACCAGGGAGTTCAATAGGCTGAGGTGTCTCCATGGGAGGAGGGGCGTTCTTCTCCCCGGGCTGCCTGCCTCCCGGTCTCTCCCTTTCTCCTGGCTGGTTCATTCATTCAGTGAACTGGATTTCTCCCCGCCTGGCAGGGACAGTTTCGACTCTCCCATCCGAGAGTCCTCTGGGTCCTGAGGGCTGGGAGTCGCTGTGTCTTTCACCAGCGAGGAAATGAATTAGGAGGAGATGAAATCGCAGTTTCCAGGGCGGGGGTGTGGAGAGGAGAAAGACAGTGTGAGCCGGGGGAGGGAGTCCCTGCCAAGCCGCCTCCACTCCAGCCCAGCCGCTGACGAGGAGCCCTGGTGGGAACGGGGGTGGATGCGGTTACCAGCAGGCTGGCTGAGAGAAGCCTCCCTCGGGTATTTATAGAGCTTTATAAAGCTCGTATCGCCATGGTACCCAGGCACTTCAATTCAACTCCGGCCCAACTGCTTAGAAACCGGCGCAGTGAAACGCTCTTCACCTGTCCACTAGCCCTGGTTTGACACCTCGTTCTAAGACTTTCCTGAGAGAATTTGACAAGATACTGCAGGAAGGGTTGGGGCTTAAGCCCGGAGATCACTTGCTTTCACGGAGCGGGGCTGGGTGGAGGCGTGGGAAAGGCACGGACAGAAGGAAAACTCCCCGTGTGGAACTGGGCTCTGTTTCTGGGCGGACGCATGGCTTTGGGCGTGAGACTGCACCTCCTGGAGCCTCGGCTTGCTCGTCTGTCAAATGGAGCAAGGACGCCCGTCTCACTGTCCACTGACAACGAAAGGAGATGATTAAATAAAAGGCTAGCTCAGCTCCCGAAGCACAGTCCTTTACAGGGTGGGTCCCTCCCCTTCTCAGTTCTGTCCTTCCTTCCTTCCTTCCTCTCTCTCTCTCT